CCAAGACTCCCTCCCCGTCCCTCCCCCACCCTAACAACCCAAAAGACAAAACAAAATACACACAAGGCAGACACAAGGCCAGAAACTTACCTGCTTTCAACCAGCTGCAAAGTCAAGGCTCACTTAAGCTCCCCCCCAAAAATCAATTGTCCTTCCTTTTTTAAAGGTTTGCTCTCTCCTTGGGAGGGGGAGAACACCTTCTGGTTCCCAACTCCAGGCAGTCACTCTTTACAATTTATTTTGTCGTACATCATTTGATCACCATGAATTAGCAACAGCAAGAAAATGTAGGAGAGGGAGAAAAGAGAGAAAGAGAGAGGGAGAGAGAGAGAGGGAGAGAGAGAGGGAGAGAGAGAGAGAGGGAGCAGAGCTTTCTGCAAGAGAAGAAGAAGAAAAAATGTACGTGTGACAAATTATGCTACCAAGAAACAACACATCATTATCCTTGGGCCTGGGGCTCAGTGAGTCGTAACGAGAGTAATAGGAAATCCACGGTTGGGGAGAGAAACGGTCGTGCTTGGCCAGTAGAGAGAGACCATACAGGGGGATGGATGCTGGAGAGACTCGCAAAATTATGGCTCAAGGCTATTGTAAAAATTGTCGAGCGTAAATGACTGCGATTTCAAACATCTTTGGAAGAAAGAAGGGGAAAAAGCGTGCCCCCCCTCCTCCCTCTCCCTCTCTCTCCCTCTCTCTTCTCTCTCTCTATAAAGAACCGTCAAGTTTTAGTGCGCATTGCTAATTAGTCAATTTCTCTCTGCCTTCACAGGCTGGCGACTTCGCTGCTGAGCTGAAACTGCTAATTTCTGTGACCAGCTTTTTTCTTAGCTGTGATCTGGATGAATGAGTAGCTGTCTCACAGAGATGACAAAAATAAACTCTAATCCCCCCCAAAATTTCCACTACATCTTTCTCATGCATAGATTTATGATCTTCAAGCGCTCTGTGCAATATGCAAACTTTTTTTTTTGTCTGTATATATGCTGTTGTTTCCAGATTTCACTACATTGGTATGCTGCTTTTCCCTTTCACCCCCTCCCGCACCGCCCCCCCCCCACACACACACTATGAAATGCAGAAACTGTGGGATCTCAAAGTATGCCTAGATGCTGCTACTTTACAGTGTCCTGGTGTTTAGGGTGTGAGTCTGACTTGGGAGACACTAGCTAGCCCTTGCCTAAGAGGTGAGTGGCTGATCATATGAACTGGGGTGGGGAAAGCAGACATGGTAGACAGAATAAAGAACAACCCTTTGCTTTACATGTGTTTCCCTGCGCTATTCAAGCTTTATGCTCTTGCTGGAAAACATATTTTTTCTATCATTTTGTCTGGTTAAACAACCACCTCTGAACTTCTCCATCAGTTCGTCAACAAGATAAGGGATCAGAAGTCACATTTTCTTTTTTTCCGGGAGATTATCCTATTGTCAGATTTGTCTTTCAATTAGGAGTCTTTGATGTGCAGGAGCTAGAATCAAATGCTAGGAAACCCAGCTGCAATTTCGCAAATGTAACCTTTCAACTTTGGAGATCCTCGGATAGATAAAGAGGACCATCTAGAGCTCCCAGTTTTGACCCTGCTTAGCATGCATAACAAACCCTAGCATGATTCCAAAATTTTAGCTGCTCCAGAGATTCATGTGCATTTTGATAGAGGACATGTTCTCTAGACTTATCTCATGATGTATTGCGCCCTTACATTTATAGCCCTGCATTTTGGTTGTCAATAAAGGTTGCAGGTGTCCAAGAAAGAAAGAAAAAAAAGGAAGCAGAAAAAGGAAGGTATGCCCTTGAATAAAATGAACATGAAAGAAAGCTGGACATGAGTTAAATTGAGTTTTGTTTGCTACTAAATATATGAATGTGATTCATTCTAATTTATATGTGCTCTGATTAGTAGTAAACTTATTGAAATATACATCAGGGCACCACTGAAAGGCTGTCTTTGTACCTTCCCCTTCGATTTGTGAGAGATGGAAAGACACCTGCTTCAGGGAGGGGGGAAACCTGAAATTCTTTGGTTCAGAAATCAGGATTTCCCCATTTAGAATGGTAAACATTAACATGCATATGGGATATTTTCTCTTACATAAATGAAGAAGGATAGATCTGAAGCATTTATCCCTCACCAAGGCCCTTCTCTATTGAGGCCTTAGATTAGCTGAGAGTAAGACTACTTCATTCAGATCTTGCTAAGATGCTGCATTCTCAGATCATATTTATAACAGAAAAACCGAAATACATGGTACAATAATAAAAAGGATTTTTTGTTTAGAGCAGATAAAAGAAAGAACAAACAGATTATCCAAATCTTTGGGGCCCTATAGTTCATTTTGATGTTTTTTGCTTTTTGAATTTCCCTTAGTTAGGTCTTGAACAGGAAGATTGTGTGATTATAATATACAGTGCCTTTTTGGGGTTCTGTTTCATTAGCAATTAAAGCTATCAAACATGTGGAGTATCACCCAAATCTCATACATATAAGGTACAATTTGTACTGTTTGCTTTGATGTTTGATCTTTTATGAGCTTCCAATGAAGTATTTGGAACTAAATCTAAAGGTGAATGAGAGTATCGATCACTTAAATTATCGCCATCTTTCCATTCTATCATAAAGGATTTAAGGTATATTTTGTAGGCTTCAAAATATCTCAGTTTTGAGTTTCTATTTTTTTCTGATAGGATATATTGATCACTAATTATGATTACTAGGATCTTTGTTGCTTCCAAACAATATAAAAGCCAAATTTCAAAAATTTTGATGACCTGTAATTTTAATGCTTATTTAACAACTAGAATGGAAAGGGAAGTGAGGCGATTTGGGGGCTTGCAATTCTAAAACAACTGCTAAAATGAAGTGGCTAGGTTGTTTCCTTCTGGACTTTGAAGATACACTATTTGAGATATTTAAAATTCCAGAGGAAAAAAATTACAATTAGGGCTATTCTGAAAGCAATTAAAAAAAGAATATCGATAATAAAAAAGATCCCTTCATAATCTGTGTGTAAACTAGCGTATATATCACGTAAATCTCACACCTCCAACATATTGCATTGGCTTTGGCTGAAATTATTGTAGAACTCACAAATGATATGACACTATTTACAATAAATCCCGTTATGAAAGATTCAATTTGCAGCAATCAGATGCTAGCTACTAAGCGATTGCAAGTATTTGAATTTTATCCTACTTCACTGTTCAACGTACAGAAATTGCATCTGTGTGTTTGATCTGTCCTGCTGAGCACTATCAGCAGCTTGCATCTCTGCCACTATTGTTTTTAAAATGGCAGGAAGGACGTGACTAGTCAAGAGCACTCAGCAGGATGGCTTTCACATGGCATCAGAGAAGCCAGAATCATTTTATAAAAAAATTAAATATGATCATGGAGTCATCTAACTCAAGCAGTCTTCATACTTGGACAGAATTATCAAAATTATTCATCAGTGAATCTGCATTTAAACTACATACAGTGGAAAGATTTGGAATCAGTTACCACTGAGCAGTCTACTCAGAGCTTCCCCTAGCTCTGGGCAGTTTGGTCAGCCTTCAGGGTGGCAGGGACGAGGTGGACAATGGCTCCAGTAGCTCAGGACTATCTCACTAGACTGGATGAACTCAAGTTTATCTTCAGGGAAGTTCTAGAAGTGTTTTGCAGCCTAACAGAAGGGGCAGCCACCTTATATTCTCCCGTTTCTTGGCTTGTGTGCTTAAGATGTGTGAGTTATCACCAAATTGTATAAATATCAGAGCCTAGCATCCCCAGTGTTTCTTTTCATGAATAAATCCTTCCTGCGGACTGACCTTTCAGATTGTGACCATTGTAAAATGGGTGGATAAAGAGAGAAATTGTCCCACTTTACTGATAACAATTGAGTAAAGAAGTACTTCACAGCTTCTTCAAAGCCAGGGAGTGGCAAAAGCCAGATAAAACTCATACGTTTCTAGTGTTTTTGTTTTAAATCATGGGTGGAGATGGCCAGAGATCTCACAAAGCCATCAGCATCAAGAAGCTTATTGAAGAACGTAAAATCTGAAATAACAATAAAAGATAAGAAATGGTGCTATTGACTCGCATTTTGTCAAAAGCCAAGGATTTATTATTGCCCCAGGGTCAAGCCCCAATTCCATGGCAAACATTCTGGGTTCCCAGGATCTAGCTCTAACTCTTCTGGGAAGTCTGTTAGCTGTTTTCTGAACACACTCCACTTTCATACAATTTAGGTTGTGTCCTTACGAACGCCTTGGTTCTCTCTCTGTATAGAAATCCCACCTATTTCTCAAGATAAAACTCAAATTTCTTTCTGTTTCTGTTGTGAAACTTTTCCTGGCAACCTCGAGTAAAATAATAATAGTACTTATTTAGCTCATTACTTGTGTGGTAGACACTAGTCTAAATCCTTTAGATGTTTTAATTTCTTAATCCTCTTGCTAATCCTATGAGAGAGTATGGTAGATTGTAAAAATGGCCCTAATCTTTATGCTTCTTGGTATAAACACCCCATTATAACGTGGTTTTGCTGCTCTTTCCCATAAAGACTGGAGTCTATTTCCCTACCCGTCAAATGTGAGCTGGCCTTGTGACTTGCTTTTGACCAAAAAAAAAAAAAAAATGCCAAAAGTGTCTTTGTGCCAACTTTCAGTCTGAGCCTCAAGAGGCCTTGTATGCTTCAACTCTCCCTCTTCAAACCCTGCCAGCTGCCATGTGAAAAAAGCCCAGGTTAGCCTGGCAGTAGATGAGATATCATATTGATCAGCCATTCCCCAGCTGACCTGATAACTGAATGAATGAGCCCAGCGGAGACAGAAGAGGCACCGTAGTCTGAATTACTGACTTACCATACTCTGAGCTAAATAAATGGCTGCTGTTTCAAGCCATTTGTTTTTGGGGTGATTTGTTCCATAGCAAGATTAGCTGATAAAGAACGACATTATTATTATAATTTTACCATTGAGCAAAATGAAGAGCAAAGAAGTCAAATACATTTTTCAGGGTCACACAGCTTTTCAAAGGTAGAGCTGAGATGGAACCCAATGACATCCTGACTTCAGAGAGTCACCATTCTGCTACTCTGGTTATGAAAGAAACTCCTGCCTCCTGTGAACTTCATTCATTCATCAAGCATACATTCAGTATTTGTTATATAACAGAGAAAGTGCTAAACATTGTAGATACGATGACAAATAAAACTGCATCCTTGCCCTCAAGGGGCTAACACTCTAAGGGAGGAGACAGGAAGATATATTAGACCCATAAACTGAATAATTACAATGTGATAATTGTTCTAATAAGGGTATATATAATTAACTATTGGGGCAGAAAGTAGTAGGCCCCTCACTTCCTTATAGAACTTATTATCTGTAATACTATTTTACATTTATTATTTACTGCTTTATATCATTTGTTGCTTATTTAGAGAAATATATTTTATGACCTCAATTAGAATATAAGTTTCTGGGGAGAAAAAGCCTTGTATCTGGTCAAACCTTCCCTGGTTTATAGCTCTGTTTCTTGCCCATAGAAGTTATTCAATAAATATGTTGATGGACTATTAAAGGTGAATTTTCACATTTACCAGGGTAACAGCAAAAGAAACAAGGGGGCATTTAATAGGAGACTGTGCTGGGCATTTGACTAAAGTGCTGTTACTGAATCTCTTGATTATGCTGATCTACTGTCTAAAAATTAATAAATATTACATTGTGAAATAAACAATTTATTGTTCGTAGTACATAGATAAGAGCTTGATGGGACTGTAGTGAGGGCTTCGCTCAAGTCATTCACCTATGGCAACCGTCACTCAGCAAAATGCTCTAAAAATTTGAAGAGTAGTTACCTTTATGGAAATAATAATTAAACTACTAAACAGGTAGCACAGTGACGTGATTCTAAGCATGAATTCTGGAAGCAGAACCACCTGTGTTTGAATCTTAGCTGTGCCATTTTCCATCTGTGTGACCTTGGGCAAATAACCTCTCTCAGTTTCCTCATCTGAGAATGGGGGAATAATTATAGCACCTACCTCCTAGGGTTTTATGATACTTAAATTCTTGTAAATATTTGTAAAAGTGCTTAGAACAGTGCCAGATGCATAGTGAGTGCCATGTGAATGTTTATTAAATAAAAAAATAAATAAACGTGAAGCTAGAGACATCTCTTAGTTTTCCTTTTATTTATTTTTTCTTTTCTGCACATTATGTCTAGTGCTCAACAAATACTGGATGGAGGAAGGAATAAAGAAACCACTTTTATCAGGGTTGCAGTGATTCATGATGCTATTCAAGAGGCAACCCGGTCACTTTAACAAAAGTACTATTATTTTTTACTTTGCTTTTTCGGTATTTTGTGCTTGTTCACCTACAGTTTTAAAAATCAAAATTCTTTTATCTTTGGGTATATTGGCATTTCATGTACATATCTTGGGCAATTGATATTCTAAAACAGTAAGGATATTTATTATTAATGACGGTTTAATGATAGGTTGCAGACTATACTGCTGACTCTGAAAAGTAGCTTTTTGACAATAGGTCTTCATGCCAATGACTGAGATGAGAAAGGATGCTGTTGTGCTTCAGTTTCTGTTTTTGACATTACCTGGGACTCTGGACAGATCACTTTTCTTCTCCAGGTCTCAGTTTTCCCATATCCAGAGAGGGATAGAATTTTCTTTATTTCACTACTGTGTAGGATTGCATTGAGGAGAAGTGACTAGAATGAAGATTCCCCAAAGAACAACTGGGAACTTTCCTAGTGAAGAAGATGAAGGTTTAAACAACAAAAGAAGAAGAAACAATTCTTCTCCCCCTGAAAAATGCTCAGAGGCTTGAGGCCAG